TTTTAGCCATGCCTCATTTTGCTCAATTTGACATTTTTTAGCTCTGTTTTTGCAGGGGCTGATTCTGTGAGAACAGCACCACCTACAGGCCTGGCATATGTACTACAGCGTCTCCAGCGCTTTCGAACGGCAATGTCCGTGGCTGTCTCCTCCTGATTGGTGGAGTTGGCCCAATAGCCGTAGCGCCACCGTCCTGACGTCAGGACAGTGTTCAAATCTGGATCAGTTTTTATCAGATCCGTTGCAGCCCCTTTTTTTAGAGATTTGGGTATGGAGGAAAATAGAGAGGGTTGTGTTTTCTGACACTTGGTGAGTTCCCTGGAACACCGGGGACACATATTCATGTATAAAAGACGTACAAAAGTGCATTTTGCATGATAGGTCCCCTTTAAGCGAAAGCAAGGCTAATATAGCAAACCTCATAATTTAACCACAAATGAAAGTTGTCACAATTAGGGCTAGCTATTCGAGCAGCTTCCAGGTTTCTAGTTTGAATTTCTCAATGTGATGGAGGGACATTAAATAAAAGGTTTGCTTTTTAGCCTGTGACCATAAGCAAGGCCGTTATGATCCTGCTAATACCTTTGAGTTTTTTATTGGTTTAGTTGGTGTGTGTGTTGTGTTGCGGGGCGTTGCAGGTAAACAACATGTATGTACTCTCTGTCAACGTAACCAGGATAAATGAAGGTTAAAAAAACATTTACTAAGATGGGAAGGAAGTGAGGTACCATGTGGGTGTTAGAGTGAGTGTGTGTGTGTGTGGTTCTGTGGCTTTTTAATGTCACCTAGCTTAATCAGATTAACACTCAGAATCCTGTTAAACACACACAGACACACACACTAAAACTCACGTGGGACTAGAGGAAGTGAGACATCTGCTCAAACTGAACCGCTCACAGTGTCTTCCGTTCTTTGTCTTCCTTTTCTTTCTTTCTTTTTTTCTTTTCTCTCGAATTTTAATCTGAACTGGTAATGAACCTTCCCGTTTTCAGTCATCACTTCTAGAAAACATAAATTCTTACACATCCACGTTTCGTACAGACTTGCCTTATCACACACAAACTCACACAAAGGCATAAATGTAATATCTGTGTTATAAAATATGTGGCAGCTGATGAAAGAGAAAGGGAGGCTTCCTGTCTTTACTCTGCAGTGCAGGTAACTGTGACATAAGTGCAGTGTGCGAGGGGTGTGTGTGGATGTGTATGTGTATTTGGAGTACACTCACACACAGTGTACACACGTCTGAAGAACACGCTTTGCCACCTTGGTTAAACACATTAACAGAGAAAAGTGCAGTTTACTTAAAGTGTTTAAGTTTGCAAAGTGGATCATTATAAATACTTGAAGCCCCGTCCCGTTTTCTATGTTAGCTTCTGATCAAGCAGCATCTGTAACTCTGTACATTTTCTCAATGGGTGTCATAACAGTTGGTGTGTCAGCCTGTGTCCCATGGCTATTGCTGCTATGACACCTGCATTTCCCTACAGGGACCAATAAAGGTTTATCTTATTTATCTTATCTTATCCTATCTTTAATGCCGTGTTGTCCCAGGTCAGAAACTGATGTCAAGTTTACCAAAAGACTGTTGAAAGGACACTTATGGTGCGTTTCCACTACAGCGCGGAGCACGGTTTAAGAGGGCTGTGACGTCAGCGGCCCGTCTTTGGTTGCGTTTCCACTTGGCCTAGTACCGGCCGGCGGGTCCTAATTCACAGTTTTTCTGGCCTCATAAAATCGTGGTTCTAGGGCCAGAGACAACGAGGCTGAGTCGGGCTGAGTATGCTAAACTAGAGAGAGAATCGCTGGCAAGGGGGCTACAACTACAACAAGATGGACATATTTGACCGTGATTTAATTGTAATACACGTTTCAAAATGATGCCGAAGTAACAACATACTGATACCGGTTAGTAAAAACCATGAATTAATGCTTTGACAAGTCTGCAGACAGACGGCAGGCGAAAAACCTTTTAAAATGCGTGTTTTCTAAATGGAGATTGGCTAAGCTAACGCAGTATATGCTCCGTCCGTCCACACTCACAACAACGGCCTATACAGACATAAATAAAGCAGCGACTGTATTCACCATGACACAGGCAGTCTGTGGTTTGTACTTGTTTAACTTTTGTCTAGTTTCTGAACAGATATGAGGAGCTGTGAGCTCTGAGTGCTAACAGCTAATGGCTGTGTTGTTTTTCTGGGGTTCTCATTGAAGATCACGTCACGGCTCCGCCTACACTGCGTTACTATAGATACTACCCCAGTTCCTAAACTGTAATGGAAATGCGCCATAAAGTGAGCCAGTCCTAACGAGGCCTAGCCATACCGAGCGGGGCCGAGCGAGGCCGTGTAGTGGAAACGCGCCATTAAAAAGACTATAAAAGATGTTGTAACGCTTCTCCAAAACATACAAATAAATGTCCAACGTGCCGCCGTATTCAGATCATTTAGGTGGATTTCAAACTGGAAAACAATATTTTAAATGAGAGAGAAATATAAATATCATATTAAGCCGTGTAAATTATTTGCATCGTTCCACACTGATGTCATGTTTACATCTGATGCTTTTTTCTTGCCACTCGAGCACAAACAAAAGCCTTCATTTACATGTATGTAACTTCTAGTTTTACAACCAAACTGTAGCGCTGCTAATGTATTGAAAAGAGTCACATTTTGTTTGGTTTGGTGCATGAATTTGAACATTTCTGATCATTTGAACCTCTGTTCTCTCTTAATTAAAAAAATAACTACACGTTTACAGTTATATATAGACTGTTATATTTGGTTAAAGTACTGTCTTCATGTGGAATCAATGCTGTGTGTCTTCAGTCAGACACTACACACAGCAGAAAATAAAACATGCTGTAGGTTACTGCTATCATTCACTAATCTACACCAACTATCCTGCCATATACACCCACTGGAATCACACACACACACACACACACACCATTTTTTATAAATGTACCCAATCTAATAATCCGCTCACACGCATTGTCTGTGTGTGCATGTGTGCTTCCTGTTCTCTGTACATCTGACTGCACCTTTATGTTTACATATACATGTCTCTTTGTTTGTTCTTTCATTATGTATGTGTGTATATTTGCACTCCTATTGTGCACATGTGTGTGTGAGCACATGACGTTGGCCTACAGTATGTGCTCATACGTGTGTTACCGAGGCCGACGGTACAGTGTGTGTGTATTTACCCCTATAGGCGTGTTTCTTAGCCCTTGCTGGCCCATATGTCCCACGATTATAAATAGCATCCGAGCTGCGGTCCTGTTTTATTCTTTGGTCTATTTTCAAAATGTGTGTGTGTGTGTGTGTGTGTGTGTGTGTGTGTGTGTGTGTGTGTGTGTGTGTGTGTGTGTGTGTGTGTGTGTGTGTGTGTGTGTGTGTGTGTGTGTGTGTGTGTGTGTGTGTGTGTGTGTGTGTGTGTGTGTGTGTGTGTGTGTGTGTGTGTGTGTGTGTGTGTGTGTGTGTGTGTGTGTGTGGTGTGTGTGTGTGTGTGTGTGTGTGTGTGTGTGTGTGTGGGTGTGTGTGTGTGTGTGTGTGTGTGTGTGTGTGTGTGTGTGTGTGTCCTAGCATTACTATCCATGAGGCGAATCATTAATTTTAGGGTGAAGACTTGGTAAGGGTTAGGCATGTGATGGTTAAGGTTAGGATAAGTCTCCAGGAACTGCATGTAAGTCAATTGAATGTCCCCTGAAGTGATGTGTGTGTGTGTGTCGGTGATCACAGCTCAATCACATGATGCATCACATTGCACGGTCTGTCTCCATACCCGCTAACCCTAACCCCTCTCTTTCACTTCCTCTATTCTACAAAGTGTCTCTCTGTCTCTCTTCTTCCATTCCCTCTGTTGTTTCCCTCTTCCTCTCTTCCTCTTTTTACTTTATATAATCTCTCTTGACATCTTTTAGCATCCCTCATCCTTTTTGTAATTCTCTTATATTTCCCCCATTTTCATCAGTTCACCCTCAGGACTTCTTTTTTCTGAGAGTGCTGACTAGAATATGGTCAAAGACTGACTTATTACTTTTGCGAAAAACTGTTATTTTCTGTTCATCTGAATTTAAATCAGCAGCTTTGTGTTATTTAGTGTAAGTCTAAAAGCAGGTTGCAGAGAAGTGCTCATAACTGCCTTATGTACCCTGAAATGTGCTTCTTCATCTAACAGACACATCTTTCTTTCTTTGCCATTTTCTGCTTTCTTGCTCTCTTTCATGTGAACTACAATTCAATTATAAGTATTATTAGCATGTCTGATTCAAGGAACCAGCAGTGTTGTAAAGTTTGTCTGGACTTAAAGAACCAATAAGATTTCAAAACAAACACAAGTTTATTCTGTTATTGGTAACCCTTTATTTTGAACTCATAATCATCAATCATTTCTAAATAACTTTGACACACTTGCACATTAACTGTGTTTCCTTGGTAGGGATCCTGTTATTTGGTTAACACCAGCAGTTGGAACATCAGAAACATGGCAAAAGTTATTTTCTGTCCCATCTTTCCGTGTGCTGTTAAGCAGAATCCCCTTGCCACATTAATAACATTTTGATGTGTCAGAGATGCATGGCGTGTAACTTTAAACAACGCAAATGTTTGTAGTAGAACTCTTGGGTAGCCTTCGTTCATAACCCATTAGTGCTCTCAAGACCCTTCTGATTTAACAAGTGACACCTGTTAAGGTTCCGACCCACAGGTTAGGAACCATTGAACTACAGTAAATAAAGTCGTTAAAACTTAATAATCGATTAAATATATATAGTAATTAGATTTTCTGCTAAGAGAGTAATCACTTTGGATTCTTTAAGTTTATTTTGCTAATAGTACATTATGCTTTGCAGGTTATGTAAGAGGGGTTTTGAATTGGTTATGTTTTTTTTATTTGTTATATTTAATGTAAATAAAATACTTCTTCCACCACTCTGTCAATGATGGGGAAGAAGAAATCACAGAATCTCTCTTTCTCTCTCTCTCTCTCTGCAGTACACTGGTCCGATCCCGGGCGAGCGAGGGGGCGAGCTGGCCATGGGGGGGGGTCGCAGCGAGACCTCGGCACTGAGCGGGACGGGAGGGGGGCGGGCCATGACCACTACCCAGAATTCCCAACGGCCAAACGCCTGTTGCTTCTGCTGGTGCTGCTGCTGCAGCTGCTCATGGTAGGAGACAAAAACACACACACACACACACACACACACACACACACACACACACACACACACACACACACACTGCATTTACACAGACAAGTTCATACAAACCAACACATGCTGCTCTAATGTAAGCACACACACACACACACACACACACACACACACACACACACACACACACACAGGCCAAACAGCTGTCTGGATGTGCTGTGGTCCTGTCAGCACAGCTGTAAAAAAAACTTGACAACTTGCAGTTTTTGTCAGTTAAACTCGAGAAGTGTGTGTTACATTTTTTTGAGCAACAACAATAGGTTAAGGATCTAATAACGTCTACTTTCTGTGTTGGGTGTCCTTATTCAGATGCATCTATTGCACAGAATAGCTTTGAATTGTGTAGCATTAGTTGCCCTTTCTCTCTACTGAAAAGTGTGCCGCTTGCAACCACCTCTACTGGTGTCAGAGACTTGTAGAGGAAACACAGGCAGCCGAATTAACCAATCACAGTTCTTGTGGTTTCCACTTTGCAGCCACAGGAGCATGCATGGATACATACTACATTTCTAAAGAGGTGCAGAGGAGCCTTTGGTGTTTTTGGGCTGCACAGTTGGTAGTGTTACAAGCATGTCAAAGAAAACAACAGAGGTGTGTATGATTAAGAAGGATTTATTGTCAGAAATGACTTACTTTACTCTCGTTGAAACTAAGAAAAATCTACATTATTCAATCACTTGCCTAGCTCTTATGCCAACTTTTTGCTCACCAATAAACTGTACATTGTTAGGATGTCACCAATCTTTTAAACACTTTTGTATGCACTATGAACGTTTTATTTATACAAAACCTCCAAGGAATAAAACGGGAGTCCTAATTGACCTTGTTTGACCTTTTACTTTTTTAGATTTCTGCAAGAACCACTGTATCCCTTAGTTCTAGACACACCAATATCTCCAGGTATTAGTCACACTGTAGCTGTGCAGTGATTAGGTCTCTGTAGCTCCCACAGGGGACCTCATCATTTAAAGCTCTCTCTCTCTCTCTGTCTCTCTCTCTCTCTCACTCACACACACACACACACACACACACACACACACACACACACACACACACACACACACACACACACACACACACACACTGAACATGTAGACACCTGCTTGTCTTACAGTTGGCTGTTAGCATTACTGTGGGTAGTGTTATCATTAAATGAGGTAATAACATATTTGAAGGTTTATAGTTTTAACCGCAATTACTCTGTATCAGCTGTGGTTTTGTGTGTGTGTGTGTGTGTTTCCCGCCTGAGAGCAGTTTAATCATGTCAGTCTCTCCCCGTCAGGAATGAAGAGGAGAGACGGAGGAGGAGGAGGAGATTATCACAGGACACCAAGATGGAAACCATACCAAACTGTGAAGCTTGGTGAGTGCGCAGTGCCTCTCACACACAGACACATGGAAACACACACACACAAGCGCACACACACACTTGGTTTGGTTTGGTGCATAATTAGGAAGATTTGTGATCATTTTCTTGAACCTCTGCTCTCTCTTAATCTAAAACAAAACTACATGTTTATAGCCCTGCTCGCACATTATAAAGTTGTGATTAATATAAACTTAATATAGTCAATATAATTGTTCCAATGCAAACATTAAGCATGGGCATGCTAGGATTTGGGACCTGGTATTGGTGTTAGCTAAGGAGTCATTAGGATTCATCCTCTGGGGACCATCAAAATAAAAGTCATAGTACTTCTTTACCACTATATATAAAATGGATAGTCCAACTTTGTTAATGGTCTTTGCTCTATTGAGTGCTTTTAACTACTTCTACTTCTAAATGTAGGATGAATTGGATTTTATACAATCGTAAACACGGATACACGGACAGAACATTTTTTTCTTTTTTTATCAGTTAAATCAGAAACATAACTCATGCTGTAATGCAGAGTGAGGTTGTAATTCTATCCCAATCCTTTTGTAATCAGTAAGCTAGGTCATAAGATTTGGACCATGACAGTCATTTGACAAAAAATACATTAATACAAAAACCAATGAGGAAATGAACCAACGTTCCGCTCTTCCTTCGTCAGCACCAAACCCTCAATGGAAGAGATCCGGCTGTGGTCTCAGTCCTTCGACAAGCTGATGAAGAACCCGGCGGGTCGAAATGTTTTCCGGGAGTTCCTGCGGACGGAGTACAGCGAGGACAACATGCTGTTCTGGCTGGCCTGCGAAGACCTCAAACAGGAGATCAACAAGAATACCATCGAGGAGAAAGCACGATCCATCTACGAGGACTACATCTCCATACTGTCACCAAAAGAGGTAGGACAGCTTCCCACAGAGATATCGTTTATGGGGGTTTCTGACCGGGAGGGAGGCCGCTTTCTTAAAGGTCCCATGTCATGCTTTTCCGGTTATTACCCGTCCCCTTGTGTGTTATGAATGTTTGTATGCATGTAAACGGTCTGCAGAGTCAAAAACCCTCAAAGTACACCCTGTAGTGAGTAAAACTCTTAACACAGAAAAGACCTGTCTATGCTGCCCCAGAACGCCTCGTTGGAGATTTCTCTTTTTCCATTTTTTTCTTCCTGGTACCAAGTGACGTAACGACGATCCAAATGGACCGATTGGTCCAAATGGAGTTGCGCCGTGTCTCGCTGTCTTGCAGACCCCACGCAGCAACCAGGAAACGACACCAGTAATACAGCTCACACTGTCGGCTCCTCGAGTCTCAAACGGCGGAGCAGCGAGCCCCGCAACGTCCCGCCAACACGGCACCCAGACCCCACGCAGCATTCTCATCTGTTTGTCATTACTGGTGTCATTTTCTGGTTGCTAACAAATGCCATTGTAACACATAAACACACATCAGAGCACAGTGGGCTCATAGGGAGGGGGGGGCAGGAGCTCCAACAAGCCGTTTAGGACAGAGAGTGAATACACATACTATACAGAGATGCTGTATGAAAAACCAATGTGAGTTTGGAAAATTGGACAATATAAATCTATTCTAGTAGACCTCAACAATGGAATTATGATCAGTAGAAATGGCCATGACATGGGTCCTTTAAAGGTCACCTATTATGCAAAATCTACTTTTTCATGTCTGTTATACATCACCATGTGTCCCCTCTGTGGAAAGAGATTCTGAACGTTTTCATTTATATAAAAACCTGTCTGAAAATGAGCTGATCAGATTTTGGCCACTTTATGATGTCATAACGATGTTTTGGCTTGTGTAACCATTAGCCAATCACCAACCAAGGTAACCCCCCCCCCCCCCCCCACCTTATCACCTGAATCTCCTCCTAGAGCACCATTGTGTTCTTTTTAACCAAATATCTCTCAGAGGGGCGTGGGGAGGGGCTCCTTATTTTCATCTAAAGTAACAGACAGAGAATCAGCACTTTTGAAACAGGGCTGAAACAGAGAGGATTATGGGATGCTGCAATGATCTGTTTGGTGTTTGGAGCCAAACACTTCAGAGACATGTTTTGTATATATCTGAGACCTATTATATGTTGATGAAAAACAGTATAATAGGGGACCTTTAAAGCGATTATTAAATAGCAAGTTTTCTTCTCGGGGGGGGGGGGGGAAACTAACAGTGATCCTTCCTCCAGCGCATGATCATGTGTGATTCAGAGTGAGCACGAAGAGTAGACGCTATTCACAGATGGGTCAATGTGTTGCAAAAGAGACTCATTGTGCTGCACCCAGCTCTCTTTTTCTCTAACCCTAACTTAGTTTCAACGTTTTAGAACAATTACAAATACCAACACATTTAAATAGAGATTTGGTTGTGGTTTCATTTCGTCAATTTGGTTTAAACACATATCACTATAAACGTTTTATTATGTTCTTTTTTGTCAAAGATGTTTTCGAGATTATTACAGCAGTTGCAAATAGGAAACAGGAACGTTTTCTTCTGTTTTTGTTTGTTTGACTTTTTGATGTAATGATGACGTAGCTCCCTGGACAGACTGTTCCCAGGGATGCAAAGTTTGTGTCATTGTTTGAATTCCAAAAGATATTTGCTAGTTAATCACTTCAGGATGTTTAACTGTGAGGCGAACGTTGCTCAAGATCTCTTCTGGTGTCTCTTAGAAATGAGCTGGTTTTAATTCAGCGACCGACAGCGTTTTATAAACATTTTCTTATGTAAGATCTGGCAGATGCATTTTGTTTTTCACCGTCTGTGTTCTGTTGCCTCATCTGTGCCCGCCTGTCAGTCTGTCCAACATTTCGATTCTCAATAACTCAACAGCTCTTTACATAAAGTGTATTCTATTGATATGAATGGTGCTCGAGCTGACGATTTCAAGCTGAGCCATCAGTAGGCTACGGTTTATACTTGGAGAACATTTGACTGAACATGGTCCTTCTCCCCCAGATCATGAACCATGTTAATTGTTCTCTTACATTATCATCTGGACAAGGAGAAGGGTTAGGGTTAACCGTTTAAGTCTTTCTTCAAGCAAACAGGCTGAAGATTGCATGGCTCCGGCTTCTTAAATGTGAAAATATGTTGCTTTTCTTCGTAATATGTCACTGTGCATTACATTCCTGTTGCCCTCGGGTCAAATTTGACACATTTGTAAATGTTATTCAGTTGGAAGAAGGGGTTATTTCATCTTAATGCCGCAAAAATAACATGAATGATTCTTATTTCAGTATTCGGAAGACAGTCATGTTCCACACTTGAATTATTTGTTTAATTAAACACATAATTATAGCATCTGGTGCCATTTAAAAAAAAAAATCCTGACTTAACCTTGACATACACAAGTTTTTGATAATCCATCAAGAAATGTACCAATAATCTCAACGATATAATATACATACATTTAGATTGTTTGAGCTCTCTTCATCCACTGATACAACAAAACAATAAGGTTGAATATTCTGTAAATAACGTCAATTGACCATAAATGCCAAAAAGTTAAACTTGTGGTAATCAGTTTGGATACATTTTACTTGAGAGTTGGGTAATGATTATTTTAATAATTTGTCGAAGCCAAGTAAAAGTTGTTTAAAGTCAAATAAATCTGATGAAATCTACTTCAGCAGATTGTATAGTGAACAATTCCCCAGAGTTGATCGGAGGTCATTCAGAACACCTGTGGCTCCTAATTAAGAATCGAGAACAGCTTGGGGGCCTCCCCCTCTCAGCCAATCAGGGTGCGGCGACACCCTTTCCTTAGAGTTTAAGAGTAGAGGTGGGGTGGGGCTGCACTTTCGGGGCGTGTGATCCTTCCTCTGCGTAATGCACACTTCATTTCAGTAGATACAAAAAAACTCTCCTCTTTTGAGACTTATTGGCTGTTTTTAAACTTTTCTGATTGAGGGTGATTTTCATAGTTTTTTCAACATACAGTAAACTAGAGTGAATTTTTTTTTTTAAAGCCATAGGTTATCTCAAGGTTCAAAGATTGTATTGTCATATGCACAAGGCTACAGTGTAGAAGGGCAATGACAATCTTATGACCTGAGCTCCTCCAACAATCCAACATATATAATAAAATACAAAATATAAATCTGCAAAAGAAGTACCACCACAGCTGTCTAGATCACAAGCCAAATATAAAACAAATGAAATAATTCGAAGGATAAATAATTAGGGAATGAAGTTGCTGCCCCACATTCATATCATTCTGTCCAACACTTTCTAATAGTATTAAAACTGCAGCGTCTGTTGTTCTAAAAACGCCCTGTGTTTAATGTCTCTGATGCTTCTTTATCTCAATTAATTTTTGGTGCCGCTGCACATTTACAGGTTTTGATTTGTCAGCTGTTCTGCACGTGCTCAGCATTCACACTAAAACCCTCCTCATGAAATGTGAATCCCCGCTGAAGTGATTATTGCTGGTGATAAATGTAGACACACTGTAGTTTACACACACACACACACACACACAGGGAATTTGTTAGCGCTTTTCTGCTGAGAAATGTAGCAAGCGTTTTCTGCTTCACAGCTATTTTTAACTTACTGACTGACTGTGAGTGTGCGCGTGTTTAACAGTGACTGCTTTATTTAGTCCAAGAGCTGGAGGCTTTGCTTGTCAGGCTCCATCCTCAGTGTGTGTGTTGGCATCTTCAGACATTTGTGTGTTTGTATGTACAGTTGTCTGAATGTGTGAGTGTGTACAGTGTGTTTACAGAAAACGATAAATTGCTGCTCTCACCTCCTGGCAGTGGAGGCTTTTTATAGACTCACACACATTAAAATACAGAGATATGAAAACGTGTGAGTTTGGCAGAGAAGATGCATGCCAGGCGGTCTGTCTGCATGCCTGACCTTGGTGAAATGCCTATCGTGTGTGTGTGTGTGTGTGTGTGTGTGTGTGTGTGTGTGTGTGTGTGTGTGTGTGTGTGTGTGTGTGTGTGTGTGTGTGTGTGTGTGTGTGTGTGTGTGTGTGTGTGTGTGTGTGTGTGTGTGTGTGTGTGTGTGTGTGTGTGTGTGTGTGTGTGTGTGTGTGTGTGTGTGTGTGTGTGTGTGTGTGTGTGTGTGTGTGTGTGTGTGTGTGTGTGTGTGTGTGTGTGTGTGTGTGTGTGTGTGTGTGTGTGTGTGTGTGTGTGTGTGTGTGTGTGTGTGTGTGTGTGTGTGTGTGTGTCAGAGTTCCCGTTAGCCGGTAATTACCGGACAATGACCGGTAAAATATGCTGAAGTCCGGCAAATCTAAATCTCTCCGGTCAAAATGTCCGGTCAAAATAATTTTCCCTTAGCGCAATACCGCATCAGTTGCGCCACTTATGTGACAGACAAGAATAGTATGTGACAGACAAAAGAGTATGTGACAGACAAAAATTGTCAATTCTAATGTCTAACACTTAATGTGGAGAAAGAGATGTCCTGTATGGGTTGATTGTGCGTTGATCTGTTGGTAATGCCTCGGGGTTCCGGTGGGCATGTAAACAAATGCATAATGCTGCGCTATACTTTGTGGCCTCATCCGGTTGCATAGCGACGCTTATTGTTTAGGTGTCTTTTAACAAGCAGGTAGTCATATCATTAGCTAGAACTAGCTAGATCTGATCGATATGGACATAAATGCGAGTAAAGTCTAATCTGACAGGAGAGAGAGATCGGCTGCTGCTGACGAGTCGACACGCAGCTCTGCATGATCCCCTGCAGCGGCGAGCAGAGCAAAACACACTTCAGGTTAGAAAATCACACGTAGCTATTTTAATTACCTCTCAAACTACCTAAACTAGTTATAGATATGTTTAGTTTTACTGTCGGGTCACTCATTACTGGATCCGCGAGCTGCATGATACTGACGGGCTGTCAGGAGAAGGAGAGAGCGCTCCGTTTATTATTCCCGCGTTTTTGTAAATTACTGTACACTTTTGAATAATGTAGTTAATCTACTATAATTAGTTTGTTTAATGTCGAATCATATCAATTTGTTTTAAAGCTCAATAAATAACAAAGAAGACCTTTAACCGGCACTTATCTAATTTTGTCCGGAAGATTTCAACTTTAACGGACATGTTGACCGGCAAAAAAATATTCTAACGGGAACTCTGGTGTGTGTGTGTGTGTGTGTGTGTGTGTGTGTGTGTGTGTGTGTGTGTGTGTGTGTGTGTGTGTGTGTGTGTGCATTAGAGCAGCATGTGTTGGTTTGTATGAACTTGTCTGTGTAAATGCAGTGTGTGTGTGTGTGTGTGTGTGTGTGTGTGTGTCCTAAATAAGAACAGAGGGAAAACATAAGAGATAGCTTGTCATTCTATAAATATCTGCGGTTGTGTCGAGGCTGTGGGGCCACTCTTGTGTTTTCAGTGCTGGTTACTGTATGTATTCATACCTGGAGTTTCATTAATAACAAGATTAATTTGCACAAAACACCTTCAATATGTGCAGATCTGACAGATTTACAAGTGCAGTTTGCAATTTTTAAAAAACATGATCTACTTTTGCTCTCATTATAAAGCCAGTGTTAAAGGTAGGGTAGGTAATTTTGGAGAAACCAGCTTGTGCGCTAGAGTTTGAAATTACACAACCGGAAAAAATCTGCCACTTCCTTACAGAGCCCCTCCTCCAACACACACAAACGCGCACATGACCAATGAGGGCACGAGATAAGTTTGTGCACAGATGGAAGGCTGACAGGCAGGTAGGCCATCCAGTTATTTTAGCCGAGCCGGCTCAAATGATTGGTCGTGCTTTTTACAGCGCCACGGCTTCCACAGATGACATTTTTTAATGTATTTATTGTCAAAGCATTTAATATATTCATTGCTATCGGGATGTTAAGAGCACTCCATGGAATATAACAAAAAGTGTTTCTGAAATGAATTACCTACCCCACCTTTAACACTAGAACCGCCAGAGATTTTTTATACCTAAAACCGCCACCTGGGTCAAATTGACCCGCTATTAGAATGCATTGATTTTCAAGGTAAAATATTCTTTTATTGAACAGTGAGTTTTGATCGCACAGGGATGAAACGTATACCAATATAATCTGTGGACTCTCAGGGCTCGACATTATAAATGGCCCGCTGGCCAGGAAGCATTATTTAGACACCGCGGCCAGCATAACGTACTTTCAACTCGCCTCACAGCTGTTTGCTGCGGAGCTCAGCGCGAGCAGTTTCCCGTGAGCGGGAGCGCATTCCTTCACTACAGACTGTCTATATCTCTCTCTCTCTCTCTCTCTCTCTCTCTCTCTCTCTCTCTATCTATAACTATCTATCAATATATCTATCCATCTATCTCTCTCTCTCTCAATCTATCTCTCAATCTACATGTATAAGGAACCGCAGTAGACAAAAGGCGTTGCTATAGCAACACGTCATGTTTATATGAAAAGGGGTGGGGTCAATATGACCCGCTTGGCGGAAATAGGTATAAATGGCAATTTTTTGGGCGATTTCTTCAATCTGACTTCATATTGACCATTTTTAACAACATAGGGTGCTACATAACACACTTTCAGGAAAAGTCACGGACTGGAAGACTTTAATATTTTATTGAAAAAAAGTTACACACAAAAAAAAACAGCTCTGGGTCAAATTGACCCGGTTGGCGGTTCTAGTGTTAAGGTCGAATATTAAAAAATATCAAGTATATCTTTTCCTAACCACTTTTCCTTAACCTCATCTTACTTCATTACCAAGGTTGGAATTAAAATTCGATATAAAGGAAAGTGAAACTAAATGGTTGCTGGTGCTCTCCCTCACCGTACTGTCCACGTTTTTAATCCACATAAATCCCAATTAGAAGTATTATTGTATGGAAATAGTTGAATATAGATAACTAAATGCAACATATGCATCACTTCTTAAGCTGACACATCAACTACATCTACTACTGTGCATATCCCCATTCAAATGTGTTGACATCTATAGAAATAGTTTAATTAGACTTAATGTAATGATTTTACAGCAGTAGTTAGCTGATCGTTCATAGTTCGTCTTTTGGTTTGACAAATTGTTGTGAAAGATAGCCTATAAGCACCTCGGCAAGATATGGCATACTATGGGTTGTATTCATGACTGGTCAATGGTGCGTCACTTTACATATTCTGACCGCAAGGAATTGTGGGACATCATTATCTCCTATCCTTTCGCAATGTGTGGTCCAATGTGTCCTATGCTGAAAGGGGTTCATATAGGAAGCGTTGAAGCTCCTTTACTATCCTCTAGAGATTTGAACAGTTCTTATCATTCAGTTCAGACATTTTTACTATCAACCTAAATGTATGCTGATACTAATATATCTTTGATAAACTAATATGACCAATATTATAATCAAAGTGTTAATAGACCAGCCTCATATTTAAAAAGATTGTCAAGTCTCTCTCTTACCACTAATTCCTACAGTTGTTTGTTTTTAGAAAGTTTTGATGGTTGAAGGTGAAGATGTAAATAATATGCTAAAACATCAAATGCATGTATTTATGAATCCCCTCTCCTCACTAAACTCCTCTGCCTCTCCCTGCAGGTGAGCCTGGACGCCCGGGTTCGAGAGATGATCAACAGGAAGAGGCAGAACCCGACGCCTCACGTGTTTGAAGACGCCCAGCTCCAGATCTACACTCTGATGCACCGGGACTCCTACCCACGATTCCTCTCCTCCAGCATCTACAGGTCGCTCGTTCAGGGCGGCTCGCGCACCTCCTCCGAGTCCTAGTGCCGCCTCCTCCTCTTCCTCTCCCTGAGCTCACAGGATGGATGCCAGATCATTTCATCGCTTCTCTCACACACTCCTCCCAGTACCAAACTTTCCAAAAAAGATCAGACGACTCCTCACTCCATTTCAACAAATCCCAAATCTCTCCGATTACTGCCAATACTTTCTTTTCATTTCTCGTTTATTCCTCAACGTTTAGTACCGTTGCCAATAACTCCTTTTTCTTTTCTCTCCAGTTTGTTCTCATTCAATCTTTTCTTACATTACTCTGATCCTTTCTCCTTCCCATTCCCATCCCATTTTACAGTAGTATTGCAATAATATAAAAGAAAACCACAATACAGATAATACAATGTTGTGTAATCAAAACAATATTCTAAACATATTTTATGAATACTTTAAAATAAAAAATTGTTATCATGAAAACAAGTCTGAAATAGTGTCAGAACTCGATTCATAGCATTTTTGTTAATTGAATTTATTAGGCCAATACTGATATTGAAATAAAACAAATCCGATAATGCATTTTTATTTATAACAAACACCCATTAGATTAGGAAAAATGTTAAAAAGCAAAATAAATTGTAGTCTGATAAATACCATATTTCTGTCTCTGATAACAGTATTGATAAAAACCCTTAAAAAATTACATATATCTGCTAATTTTAAATAACACTCTACATAAACACGTTTTTATTATAAGGGTCCCTTAAATTAGTTTTAAACTGGAAAAATTCTTAAAACATTTTTACTGGCCATGTTGTTACTTCCACCTACAGTACATCCTTCTATTTAACCTTACAACCTATTTTTCTACCTAAGGACATCTCCTCCTTCCTCATTACCTCACCTTTTTCCTCTTTTTGACTTTCTTCTAAACAGAAAGACATATTTATTGGGATATGTGGCGATTCACATGATTACTTGGGAGACTTTAATGCATTTCAATGGGAGAAATACACATCTGTGCCATGGATCCTAAGTGGATTTTTACATATTAGCCCCGCCCCTCATGCCGTCCAATCACCTTTCAGAGCCAGTTAAAAGGTGAATGTTCCTATCCTCCACCCGCCTAATCACCTTGTTTTCCTCCTGTGGTTTCGAGAAAGGCAACAGAAAAAGATGGATGCTGTCTGATTCCTTCTCTCTTCTCTTTCTCTCTTTCAACTGGAAAACACAGGGCGCTCCCTTCAACCCCCCCGCGACAAACCACAACGAAAACGTGTGTTTCTTGTTTGCTGTTTATTTATCCACTCGTTTGCTGGCTCAATCATTTCACTCTGCGATAAACAAAAAGGACAAATGGATGGATGTCAATTCCCTCCGACTACTGATTTACAAACAGACAAGACGTCTATTTTTTAAGAGAAAACTATACGGAACATTTCAATTTTGTTGATTTTCTTTTTGTTTCTTGAATTCTCCCACTCTGACCCCTTCCTGGATTCTTTGCAAAAAAGAGGAAAAAAATCCTCTTAGAGTGTACTGATCCCCCACCCTACACAACTCCACAGACACACACACAGGTGCAATAAACACTGGAGTTTGGAAAAAACACACACACATTTACACAGTTTGTGTTACTATATTTCAGAGGATCTTTACCTCATCTTGTAGGGCTGCTCGATTATGGCAAAAATCATAATCTCGATTATGTGGGTCAATAATTGATATCACGATGATTAAAAACGATTATCTATTTACCTTGAAAACATCAATTTATTGAAAAAAAAATGTTGAACAGTATGTTTTTAACAGTTGATTACCCTGAACTTTTTTTTTAAATAGTTTTATTTCGATTGTGTTGATTTCATAATCGTTGCAAGCCAAAATCGTAATTGCGATTCAAATACGATTAATTGAGCAGCCCTATCATCTTGCTAAATTAAACCCTCAGCATGATATGACCAAGCCTACCAAAGTAACCGTTACAGTATCATGTAATATTTCACAATCCACTCTGACCCATTCAGCTGTAAAGAAGTACTGCACCCTACAGTCTGTTACTGTTGAAATACAGCAATCATGTATTCATGTTGAGTGCAACACACCCTCTAAATGGTATATTGTCCAATATGTCTCAAAGGCCTGGGTGACCTTTTTTTTTTAATGGCTCGAATGGCTTTAAATAATGAGATAATTCTATGTTTCACTATTAATTGATCTGCTCAACAAACGACAAATTTGATCGGCAGCTTTTTGGTATTTTAAATTACTTTAAAATATATTTTCTGTGCCATTTGGCTTGATGAAAAAGATTTTGAAAATATTTGTGGCTTTAAGGGTGGCTAAAATGCAGTTTTATTGCTTAGAAACTATGATAAAAGACCTCTAAAGTTCCTAAAATGATTGTTAAAGTGTTCCTAATAAGTATAGTAATACAAAACGCACACACACACACCCACACCCACACACACACACACACCAGGGTGGCCTACCTGGGCACTGCTGCTGCTGACCTCTGCCTCTGTGACCTCTCACCTTGACCTCACCACTGTCTGTCCCACTCGGACGCCTGCTCCTGATTGGCTGCAGGAGGCTGCAGGGCTGAACTGTGGTTGGTCAATTCAGGAAGGGGGGTGGGAGGAAATCCCAGGTGCAAAAAAATATAAATATATATAGATATATTATTGAAAAACAACTAAGAAAAAAAATATATAGAGAAAAAAAATATGTTATGTGAGATGGGATGCTTACACCCAGTGCTTCATGGGAAATGTAGTTTGAGGAAAATGTGTGTAGTTGTCTGCGCAGGCAGAAACAACAGATTCAAAAAAAGAGATGCCTAGATCTTAACCAGACTGGTGACTCGGAATGCATTTATCTTAGTATTGTTAATGTTATTTATTTTATATTTTGTTAAAACTGTGATTTTAATTGTACATATATAAACGGAAACCCTTGAACATCCAATGAGAAGCGGCCTCGTTTGTTCTGAGTTTGTGTCTTCAATTTATTTCTTATGTCTCAACTAGGAATCAACTCTCTGCTCTGCCATCGTCCATGCCTCTCGCTACACTGCATTTGATACTGGAGTTTTAAGGCGGATACAAATACCAATGTCTGGGTATTTTATATAATCCTATCGAAGCATTTTGGCCAACATGTTTTTTTACATAAATGCACAACACGTCTTGAGATAGTTCCTTTCAGGTAAAGCGGTTCAAGTACATTCACTTCTCTAATGTGAAACTGCAGTTTGAGTTTGAACTGAAAGTGAACATGAACCGAGTGAAGAGAGACAGAGCTGTTGACTTTTTGTTGATACTCCCAACACTCAGTTCCTAAAGGAAACCACCACACACACACACACACACACAGGTTTGGAGTTTGTGTGTGGGTGTCTGGTCTTTTTCCACAGTTCACTGTAACTTGATATGTTTGTGTTTGGAAGTAGTTCTCTGTGACACAGACACACACACATACGTACACTTATTTAGTATATAGACACACTCTCATACCTCCATTTCTCACACAAACACACTCTCCCACACTTAGATTTCTTTATCTGTCCATCCATGTTTCTTTCCCAGCATTCCTCTCTTTAGCATGCGTTGATGGACACTGATAAACTTCACTTCTCCTGCTTATCGCTTTCAGAAACGCACAGTTTAGTTCACATGCTGAGGGCCTTTTTTACCTCCTTCTCTGCTTCCAAGTTACCCAAAACGTAATATTTACTTACTAAAGCGCTTGCTATTAAATGCAGATTAGTCACTTAAAATAATACTACACCAGCGTCAAATGGATCTTAAATTTAACATGTTTTTATACCGGCTGCACAAAGTAAAGTAAAGTTAGTAAATTCCAATATGTCCTGAAAAAAACATACTAATTGTAAGTCAAATTGAATAAATAAATGCTATGTTCACATTTTCTTTTGCGTTTAAAGGTCCCATGTCATGCTTTTCTGGTTATTACCCGTCCCCTTGTGTGTTATATAGCTTTTTATGCATGTAAACGGTCTGCAGAGTCACAAACCCTCAAAGTACACCCTGTAGCGAGTAAAACTCTAACACAGAAAAGACCTGTCTATGCTGCCCCAGAACGCCTCGTTGGAGATTTCTCTTTTTCCATTGTTTACTTCTTGGGTATAGTGACGTATTTCTGGTATAGTGGCGTAACGTAACGTCCGCGGAGCCGTTACGTTTGGACCAATCCGCGGACTTCCTCACACACACACACACACACACTCGGCGGGACGTTGCGAGGCTCGCTGCTGCGAGGAGCGGGACACTGTGAGCTGGCTCACTGGTGTGGGGTCGGCGAGACTCCGCGGAACTCAGCCTGGGCACACACACAAACTCCCAGCCAGGCTGCGGGTGTGTGTGTGTGTGTGCCCAGGCTGAGTTCCGCAGAGTCTCGCTGTCTCGCAGACGGCCACTGGGCTCACAGGGAGGGAGGGGGCAGGAGCTCCAACAAGCCGTTTAGGACAGAGAGTGAATACACATACTATACAGAGATGCTGTATGAGAAACCAATGTGAGTTTGGAAAATTGCACAATATACATTTATTCTAGTATACCTCAACAATGGAATTATGATCAGTAGAAATGGCCATGACATGGGACCTTTAATATCTCGACAGTGTACAGTAGGTCAGCTGAACTTACCACAGCTCAACCATACATTAAACATAATGAAAAATAAAGGGAAAAATGACTCGTTAAAGGATTAATGAAAGGATATTTTCTTGGGTCTAATTAACAATACTTTAAGGGAATTCCTCTGGCAATTCCCAATGATTCATTAACTTAACCCAACTATAACATCTCATAAAATACTTTTTCCCACCCCTACAAAAAAAAACATTAGTTATTTCAAGGAAACTCTTGACATTGGAAACAATAGCCCTGTTGAAACTGAACCTGGTTTGTGCTAACATTAGCATATAGCTAACATGTAAATAGAACGTTTAACAAGCTTAGCTAGCAACCTTGATTTCTTTCAGTAGCCTACAATATTTTTATTTTGCTAGCTTTTTCGATTTGCATCAGTTCTGATAACTGAACGTACCAAAGTAACAAGATCTTAAATCATAAGGAGGCTTTTTATACAGTACAAAGTCAGACAGTCATTACTTGGATCTAATATTAAAGCATCATTTCCAAATGGGCGGTGAAATTAATCGCAACATTGTCTTTCATATACGTTTCCTTATCCTGACCATGCTGTAACCAAACATGGTCAAAATCACAAATGAGAGAGAATTACATGGTCAGTTTGTAACCTGTTTTGCTTTCCACTGAGTAACTATTTCTGCTCTGTGTTCTGTTTGGACTTCATGAATTCGGTCTGTTTTCCATCCAGAAAGAAGACACCTAACCTGGCTGTCTCTCCACCTTCCTCCCTCTCTCTCCCATGCTCTTGTATGGAAAGAGCTCAGCAGTGTTTCCACAACAAACACAACAGCAGCTTTCTCCGCTCTGCTTTCTCAACACTTTTCATCACCTCTGTCAACACGCTCGCACCTCCAGCGCCATTTGGAAAACGGACTCGACATCTCTGGTTTACACTTGAGTCAGTTGGGATTTATGTGTTTTTTTGTTACTTGTACATGTGATGTTCAGTTAAATGAACTGAGAAAGAATAATGGCCTCACTGGTCATGAGAAGGAATTGTATCAACAGTATTTAAGTGGAAGGACTTTAATGTTTAACGTTTGTTATCAACATCAAACTGATAGTGCTCAAACATTTCAAATTATATATTATTTGTTATTACAATGAGTGTCATCAGAAAATGTCACTTATTAAACATAGTGTGGTCTAATGTGGCTTTAAAAATCTAGAACATCTGAACATCAGTGGACTTTGGAACCTCATTTTAACCAGTATTATGTGAGATTCATATTTTGATAAAGTTAAGATGCTTTAAAGGTCACTAACCTATTACATGTTTTCGGGTGTGTCAGTACACTGTGACATCACTGGTGGGTTACAGTATGTTGCGTTATAAGTCATGTAGTTGTTGAGTCAAAGTAAAGCTGAATACAGAAACCCTTTGACAGCAATGTGGATGTCATTTCAGTAATAACCCAAAATGGTTGTGTGGCATTTGTTCATACAATAGGGACTTGGCTGATTGCCAGTTCAATTCCCCTAACTGAGGTGCCGATGAGCAAGGCAGCAGACCCCCACTCTGCTCCCTAGGCGCTGTATAAAAGCTGTGTATGCTTCTTAGCAGGATGGGTTAAATGCACTAATATGAACAAAGTCTAAATGTTGCTGCGTGTGCGGTGCTGGATGCATGTGTAACAATTAAAGGTTGTTTCAATTGCCACATTTTCTATTTCTCAACAAAATTCAAAATATGAATACTTGAAAATTGATACATGCTTTATCTATTAATAATAGAACAATCTTCATCTGGATCTAAACCTTTTATGCCAATTGATTTAACCAATGTTAAATTCTAATAAATAAATATCCCTTATCCACAAATATGAAGAAAATATGACCAGGACATGCACTCTAAAAGACTACAAAATACTATTTAAGATATATATTGCTACCTTTTTTTAAAACCAAGCAGGAACCAATCAAGCCAGAAATAAAAGAAGACACTGCAGCGATGTGGTCTTAATTAAAGTGCAACTTTAATAGAAATGTTAAGGGCAAAATATTGTGTCAGCACAACAAGCTGTTTCCACAAATCCTAAATGTGATTCAATCTGGTTTAAAGCTTCATCTAGAATAAGAAATAAACTCTTTATAAGTGCTGCATACAATACAAACTAAACCATATACACAACATGGACCTTCATATTCGTTTTTAAATATATTACAGCTTTCACTAGGTTTATATATAAAAAAAGAAATTATACAAAATAAAACAAAAAAAGAAATTCATATTTCTGAATCCAAATTCAAATTCACTTTTAGTCATTTTGCTTCATGATCACACACACAGCATCTCCACCCTCCTGCTGCTCTCTGCATCTCCCCACTGTGGACACACACACACACACACACACACACACACACACACACACACACACACACACACACACACACACACACACACACACACACACACACACACACACACCACACACACACACACACACACACACACACACACACACACACACACACACACACCACACACACACACACACACACACACACACACACACACACACACACACACACACACACACACACACACACACACACACACACACACACACACACACACACACACACACACACACACACACACACACACACCTCAACAAAACTGGAAGACAGAAAGAAAGGTTGTGGTTAAAATTCTTACAGAAAATACATTTAAATGTGTAACATTGAGTAAAATGTTAGATTAAGTAAAATAACTGGTAAATTGAATCGTGGGTTAGGGTTAGCTTCAAACTCAAATAACATTGTTGTTTTATGTAGTTAAAATCTTGAACCGCCAAAATGTAAACCGCCCATCCATCCATATCAGAAACAGTTCTGTCATAATAAATAAAAAGAAGCCTGCAATTATATATTATGCCAACATTAAACTTAACACAAAGTTAAATCTGTGTGTCATTTTGTCAGAATTTCCTACAAAATACTGAACGTTTTCAGTATTTTGCAACTTCAAACTTTGCTTGAAATGATTCCTGAGGTTAGAGAGGTGTTTATCAGTTTATCAAAGATAGCTTTATTAAACTGATAATAATGTCAGAGCCTACCGACATGTTTCAGATTCTCAAAATGCTGAAACGGAAACACTTCCCACAATCCAAGCTGCTCAAATGTGTGGCTTCACCTTGACCTACAGCCAGGAGCTAAATAAGGGAGGGGCCTGAAAAAGTACAGGAGAGAGAGGAGGGAGTAACTGTGGAGAGAAAAGGAGAGGGAGGGAGGAGGGGGAAAGGACAGGGGGGAGGCATGAGATGTAAACAAGGGGGGGAGGGAGGACAAGGAGAAATGTGAGAAAACTGGAGAAAAGGGAGAAAGAAGGAAAATTGAAATAAATAAAAAGATATGAAGAAGTGAGAAAAGAAGAGAAACAGGTGAAAGAGAGAATAAGGCGGACATACAATATGTAAAGGGAGGCAGCACTCATGAAGGTGAGTGGAGAGGAAGCGGAGGAGAAACATGAAGAGTCTGGTCTCTGCTGCCATCTTGTGGTGAGAGTCATACTGACACTCGGGTCAATTTAACCTTTATTACAGTTACAGATGAGCTGCAATATTGTTATTTAGTAAAAGCGCTTAAATTGACCTGCCTCCTCCTGTAAATCATTTCATAAATATCCTTTACAAGTGTTTTACTTTGATGAAGAAGGTCACATAATGTATAAGGACTAATATGTTTGATAATGTCTTTGAAAAGTGACCATTATACATTCCTTTTAAAAAGATTGACTTGGGTAAATTGTTGTATTTTTATATCATAGACTTTTTGAAAAGGTTTTTTAAGATTCTTATGGGTTCTTGTTTGTTGTGTGAGGTTGGATGCATATTTACTAATATTTCATGTGTGGATATACTGTAAATTATATGGAGCACTTGTGTACTTTAGTCTAAGCATTCACTGCTTCGCTGACATGTTTTCAATTATATTTGCTGTATGTTTTACCTTTAAGAACGTACCCAATATTTTATAAATCTTAAATCATTATTTTGTGTGTCCCTACCTTCCATCGGTTGCCGCAGCTGTTACACAACACAAAGGTGGTCATCGGCTCATCAGCACTGCGGATCTGCACCTGAAACACACAAAACATCACGAGAAGCATTTGAGTTCATCATTATTGATTATTTTGGGACACAATATTATTAATTCACTTTAACATTGAAAAAAAGAGCACTGCTTTCATTTTCTTTGTATCCCTGCTTACCAAAAAACATAAAAACGTGTCCTTATCCACAATGCACTCGTAGAAGGAAATGTATATTAAAAATTCTACCAAAACCTTTTAGTTCAATTTTTAAACAGAGAACATTTGTCCCTTGTGCTCTCTGTGTTGTATTACTTAGCCACTGCATTCAGGACAATTTTCACAGGCCGCTGCTGCAGGTTGAGTTCAAGCTGTTTTTATTTTGGAATGAAGTTTTACATTTTTACTTTTGATTTTAGACTTTAATATCCCAGTCGCCTATGATCATTTGTCTATGGGAAGCCAACATTCCCTACTGTGTGTGTAGCAGAGGTGGGAAATAGTGGAGTACAAAAACTTTGTTACTGTACTTAAAGGGGACCTATCATGCAAAATGCACTTTTGTACGTCTTTTATACATGAATATGTGTCCCCGGTGTTCCAGGGAACTCACCAAGTGTCAGAAAACACAACCCTCTCTATTTTCCTCCATACCCAAATCTCTAAAAAAGGGGCTGCAACGGATCTGATAAAAACTGATCCAGATTTGAACACTGTCCTGACGTCAGGACGGTGGCGCTACGGCTATTGGGCCAACTCCACCAATCAGGAGGAGACAGCCACGGCCATTGCCGTTCGAAAGCGCTGGAGACGCTGTAGTACATATGCCAGGCCTGTAGATGGTGCTGTTCTCACTGAATCTGCCCTTGCAAAAACAGAGCTAAAAAATGTCGAATTGAGCAAAATGAGGCATGGCTAAAATGCATGATCTGTTGGTATTTTGAAAAAAAAAAAGTATAAATATGCCTTATATAGGTATGGTCCCATACTATATTATTCAAATATAGCATGATAGGTCCACTTTAAGTAAAATGTTCTGGTATCAGTACTTTACTCCACTGCCTATTTTTCTGACGACTTTTTACTTTTACTTCTTACATTTTAACACAAATACCTGAACTTTCTACTTCTTACATTTTCCAAACAGGCTGGTTCCTTAATTTTAATCTGCGTTTGGTGGCGTGATCATTATTATTTAGAGTCATTGCGTGCCTATTGATTTTAACACGATCCGTGTTTCCATCACTTCCTGGTCTTCTCTAAAGAAGAGGGACCAATGAAACGTTGTCATGTTGCCGTTGTTCAGCATCGAAACATTCATTAGCTAACAATGACATGATTGTTCTATTAATATAAAGGGAGGTCAGTTACTCTTTAAAACAGTTGGTAGTTATGGGTACTTTTTACTTAAGTACATTTTGAAGCCCATACTTCTTTACTTTTACTTGAGTAAAGAAGTTTAGTCAGTACTTCTACTTTTACCAGAGTATTTTTAAACACGAGTATCTGTACTTCTACTTGAGTAAAGGATGTGTGTACTTTTGCCATCTCTGGTGTGTAGTCATGTGTGTTCCTACCTGTGTGTATGAGCATCTCTTTCCGCGGCACTTGCCGCAGATGAACATGTCCGTCTCCGTCCCCCCGACCTTGGACAGCTGATGCTCTCTGATGGACTCTTTAGTCAGAGCCTCTCTCATCAGCTTCAGCTCTGCACTCGCCATCTCCTGCACACACATAGCAGTACTGCAGTTGTTGTAATCAAGTACCCCCTTCTCAACCTAAAGTCTACCCTTAAAGATCTCTTATTATACTGTTTTTCATCAATATATTATAGTTCTGAGATATATACAAAACATGTCTCTGAAGTATTTGGCTCCAAATACCAAACAGATCATTGCAGCATCCCATAAACCCCTCTGTTTTCAGCGGGGTCTGCTACTTTAGTTGAAAAATAAGGAGCCCCTCTGAGAGATATTTGTGACCTGCTCCATCGAAATCAGTCGCATTGACCCGAAGACACATTTTGAGTTGTATACACTGTTGGAAAGAGGAGATTCCTAGCTTTCTAATGATATCAGGATTGTTTTTGTACTCCAAATATTAAGCAAAATATGTCACATTATATAATGACTGTCACCGAGTCAAGTTTCCTCTTCTCTGGAATCCATCGATCTGATTGATTATTAGCAAATGATCAGAATACTACGCAGGGAAGATATTTTGGTTTGGATTACTGGTCTGGGTGAAGCCCGCGAGTGTGTGTGTGTACGTGTGTGTGTGTGTTTGTGTAATTTTGCGTTTGTTTCCCGGGGAAAACACTCACGAGAAACGTCGGCTGTTGTTATGCCTGCTGTGACGTTAAGTTACTCCGTTCTCCGCTTGTAATTATGCCGTTACAAGCTTCAAAGTTGTATTTATCATCTGAATTTTCCGAAACAAGTTTAATATTCTGAAAGCCAAGACTTTGTTTATTTTAAATCAGATGAAAACAAACTGTAACGGACCCTGCCGTGTTATCTATGATTACTCTACGCCTTACGTTGGTTGGTGATTGGCTAATGGTTACCCAAGCCAAAACATCGTTATGACATCATATAGTGGCCAAAATCTGATCAGCTCATTTTCAGACAGGTTTTTATATAAATGGATCAGGACAAAAAGAGAGGGGGTTTTTTCCTGAAACTTTCAGAATCTCTTAACACAGAGGGGACACATGTTGATGTATAAAAGACATGAAAAAGTGGATTTTGCATAATAGGTGACCTTTAACCCTAAAAAACGAAATGAAACAGCCCCTTGCAGAGGTAAGGATGACTGACCTCAGCGGTCATGGAGGCGATGCGTTGAGCCGAGATGTTTCCACACAGCACGTTACGCCGCAGGTCAGGGTTCTTCTGGTCCTTGAGGTTAGAGATTCTGCTTCTTAGACGAGTTTTATACTTTAAATCTGTCGTCTTAAACTCATGGAAGATATGTGGGCACGACGAGCAGTCAAGGACTCACAAGTGATGATCAAACACACATTATATACATCAGTGAATTAGCTTAAAATGTATCTTACAAAGTGAAACACACCGAGTACACTCAAATTAATATCTTTCATTCAGTTGTAAAATCATTTTCTGTATGTTAGCGTGTGTTTTTGTAGAGTTTTAAAATCTTGATGAAACAAAAGGATATCCTCTTCGATTTGTGCTGCAAGATACCCACAGTTGGCTCCAATGTTCTTGTAGTCACCTGCAACACAAACACACATACATCAATTTGAGATATTAAAATATCAACCGTGTGTTTTCTTATACTTTACTCATATATTGTAAAGGGTCTTCTCACCGTCAGTCTGCAGCGCCGCCACCAGCAGCTCTCGACACTTGTTTCTCACACTGTCCGTGGTGACGGGGGGAGGGGGGAAGGAGCTGACCTGAGCGGGGAGGATGGGGGGGATCGGAGAGGTGGGTGTAGTGGGTGTGGTGGGTGTGGTGGGAGTGGTGGGTGTGGTGGGAGTGATTGGGGGAGTAGGGGTGGTGGACGAGTCCCCCGATGTGTTACTGCTGAGTCAGAGGAGGAGACATTATTAAATGAAGTGGAATTTGGAGTCGGTTCCACTTTAAATCTTCCTACATGAAATAGGAAACTGTACTTTCACTTCTGTCACAGTGACATCTACTAATTTCATTTCATTTTTTATTTGTTCCGTTCATGGTATGCACAACATAATGTATAACAATTATTAAAAAAACATCTATAAACACACCATACCCGAAAAGGAGTAGGGAGAAGAAAATAATAATCTTGTATTTCCTGCCCCTTTCTCAACAAAAAAAAGAAATAGAAATAGATGGTCTGTTCTTCATATTTTCTTATTCACAGCCAATCATAAGAGAAACAAAATGTAAGAGTAGATGTAACCAAAAGTGATGTCATCAGTGTGCGACAGACCTTTTCTCAGTGCTGCCAGAGTCCTTGGAGGTGGAGGATGACCTCACAGGAGAGTCTTCATTCTTCTTCTCCTTCTCCTTCTCCTTCTCCTTCTCCTCCTCCAGCTTCCCCTCTGCACCGTCTGCAAGACAACACACAAAACAAATGTACGCCGCACCCATTGTTTTCTATCAAAGAGCATCGATAGATGTCAATGCTGTCCGCACAAAGTGAAAAATACACAAGCAACACACCGCCTCTTACCCAGCAGTTTCTTCCAGGACTTGATGAGAACTTTGGCCAGAGTCTGAACCTCTTCCTCTGAACTGTGTTTCCTCACCGCGTTCACAGACATCCCCACTCTGGTGGACTACAGTGGTTAAAATTGTGGAAATAAAAGTTATATCAATATTTTCTCATCTAAAGCGCCGTCTATTTTGTGTTCTCCAGTGGGCATGAATGAAAGATATTGGTAGTACCATTTGATTGCTCAAACAAACTGTCAACTTTGCTGTAAATCCCATCTGTTTAATCATCACATGAATACAGCGTCAAAGCAGAGCGTCTGAATTCATGGCGGTATTCAAAATCATACTGCCTAAATGTTTTAAACACCCTGGTTTATCGCAAGTCCCCACTTCCTTTTGCAATTTTGACTGTGCAGAATGTCCATGCCCTAATTTAACAGACATGTGCAGTGATAACTATTCCTGTCTCAGCTGTGTCAGACTATAGGTGCACTTGATGTTGATGGGGACATGGCAGAGGGGTGGAGTTATTTACCTGCAGCGTCTCTAGAGACATCTTGATGTTCTTCAGTTCCATCAGCAGGTCGAGAGCTCCGTCCTGTCGACAACATAAAACATTCAAATCACATTTTTACCCTGTACGAGGTCAACTCACCACATTTACACTTCAGAGAGTGAACACCAAGAAGACAGACATATCTGTTTCAGTGGACATTCATTTATCCAGTAGAGTCAAGGTGGCCTTTTCTACTGCATGAGAAGATTCATGGCTTCTTCCCAAGACTAACCCCCACAGCTGTCACCCACACGCCCCGAGACAATCGTTCAGTGTAAAAATAAAGGTTACCAAGAGAATGATGGGACCAGGTCAGGAGATGTAATTTAAGAGACTTCAATTTGTCAATTAATGAGGACCAGTCCATACCTGACACCAGGAAGTGCATATTTGGGGGAATTAACACAATGCAAAGCCTTTAGGGCTAGAGAAAAAGGGAGACATAGCTTATCTTATTTGAAATCCCTTATTATAATGCTATGCTGAAAATGATTAACATTTTAGAACAGGAGAGTGTCCAGGAGGAGGAGTCCATAGCTGTGCTTTCTTTGCCAAATGAGAGGGTACTGCAGGGAAATAAGCAGGATGTGTTCCCACATTACCACATACTGTAGGCGACACAGAAACTAAAAGACATGCACGGATAAAAGGAACAAAATAATTATTAGACACAAAGACAGACAGTGAGGAGGAAAATACATGTAAGCAGAAGAGACTGTTGTATTATTCATGCGTCTACTTCCAAATCCCACTGTGATGTTTAAGACAAAACATCTCTGTGCAAACTGTTGCTGTGAGACTATTTCGAGAAAGATAAAAGCAATACATTTCCACAAATCTACTGAGAATAGGGTAAACAAGTATTATCATTGATGTGTAATCATTGAGACTTTTCTGTAAGCCCTGTTCCCACTGCTCAAATGTAGCCCCCTAATCCACTGTTTGTTCACCAACAACCTCTATAGAGCTGGTATAGAAGTGTACCCGTTGCAATGTCTCATAAAACACTAAAAGGGGGGAAAACCATGATGGAAAACCCACAGTATATGGCACTGCCCCATGTTTTCTCCTATCAGAGGGCAGCCTGCCAGCCCTTTATCATGTGTTATGTACCAAAAGGGCACATTAGAGGCGTTTTTTTATTGAATAAGACATTTTCCCTCCTGCCCCCAAACACCTGTTGAAGTATTCCCAGCTCTATGTAGCTTTTAACCTCCTTTGCTCTATCGTTTTAATCCTCTGGTTTAACACAGATTAAATGGCTGTGCCGCCACAGTTAGCCATTCAATAAAAACATGCTCTGCAAAGCTGGCACCAAATGGAAAGTTAGCAGCTAGCTGTGGAAAACATTGGAACAAGTATCCAAACCAGAGCCAAAATAATATTGGAAGTGACGGCTAGATATTTGGAAACATATTCTCAACCCCGACATACTGACGGTTTGGTCAGCATTGGTATTAATCAAGGTTTTGGAAATACAAACATTGGACAGTGCACAAACAATGAGACATCTTCTTTCCACTGTTTAAACTTTTGAAACTAAAAACATTTGTTTATTCATATTGTGGATTTTTCAATGAGGTTGAAGGATTACATGTTCTTTTAAAAACAAATCAAACACACACTCATTTGAAATGTTTGCAGAGGGGATCTTTTGAATCATCCAAAAAGTCTCCATTTAATTGAACAGATGAAATTGCTTTGAACTTTGAACTCAAATACTGCATGCTCTTTTCAATGTATGTATTACTTGATATCAGTTCTCCATTATAATAAAAACAACTCAACAGAGCCCCAAGGTACATGTTTAGTTATCCTACGCTCCACTGACTGGATTTTCCCAATGTAAAAACAAAATGTTTCAAGTACAAACAAATTATATTATAACGAGTTGTATTATTTTCTGTTTTAGCTCAGCAATCTAATAATGCCACCATATATATTAAATAACCTTTGGAGGTATGTAGTTAATAAACTCTGCATTGAGTTGATCAGACAATTGACTCAAGGTGTGGTGGATTTAATTGGCAGCTATTTGACCAATCGCTGCAGTGATTTATCACCAAAAACAGAAGCACCGGCATTGTTTTGAGTGAGATTATCAGCAAACATTTAACTCCTCCACAGGTCAGTGAGCAGAGTTGAACAATGTGTTTCCAGAATTGTCCCTCTCAGCAGTTAAATGTAGGGCTCACCACCTGATCGCGTGTTTTATGCTGATGCAGCAGCTGTTTTGCACTCACCGTGTTCTTCTTGTGCACCATTTTATCCAGCTTTTTAGCGATGTGCTCCACTTCTTGGTTTTTAGCCATTTTGAGCGGATTTCTCTCCGTCAGTTCTCCTCCTCTGCAGCCGTGAGAAACCCCATCGATGGACGAGAAACTCTGCCAGTTTCTCTCTCTTTGCGTCTCTTTACGCAGTCTGTCTGTCTCCTCTCCCAGCTGCTGCCTCTCTCTCGTTTGTTGTTGTGTGTCACTGTGGGACGCTGGGAGTTGTAGTTTCATTTTTTTCCCCAAATTCAACCTGGATCAACTTGGCCAAAACTTTTAAAGGAGACTCTGCAGTCATGCAGCCAGAGGGGACTTCCTGGAAGGGCATCCGATTTCCTCAGGTAGACTCTTCATTCATCATTTATCATTCATTATTAAAACATATGATGATAGTCTATATTGTTGGATGAAATTTGGAGGGGAATAGATGATCCATCATGATCCCTATGGGTTAATCACAAACATGATTAACATGGAGATCTAACTATATAATCATAATTCAATCTGTATTCAGATGTATATCACACTGACGGTGTTTGGCATCAAAACGCTCCTGTTCATTGAACTGACTGGTTGTCAGGATGAAGGTCAGTAGCTGCCAGTAAAACCCCGAATGAATAGCCTGATGCACTCACTGTCTCCTCCCACTAGATGTCAGTGTTGCTAAGTTATATTGTACTTGGTGCAGTAATGTTGACAGCTTGCAGTTGGTTTATATGTGTGAATATGTGTGTGTAAGTTTATGTTCTTATTAGAGAGCAAATTCTGTAGAGACACCATTTTTTTTTTTTGGAAGCTATTTCATCAAGTGCTTTCTCTAAGTGATTTCACTGCAGTTTAGTCAGTAAGTACAAATAAGGCTGTGGACAGTTATTTCGAATTTTGATAGTTGGAAATAACTGAAAAGTATGTAATAAATCCATCATGGGATCCAATGCCGGCCCAATGACTGAAGCTGTGAATGTATCACTGAACATGTACAATGGACGGACCTAAGTGTTCAGGGACGTTTTTGACTATATTTGAAAATGTTGAACCCTCTTGACATCTTTACAATTAAAATAAATCTGTATCTTCTAAGTCTTCATCAAACCCAAGTTAAAAAACACAAGGAAGCAATTTAAAATAGACAAAATGTAATATAACATATGATCGAGTGGATTAGACTTTTAATAAATAAAGATAACCACTTTATTATGTAAAACAAATAAAGAAACAATTTAAAGTCAAATCAAATAAACACAACTCGGTTATTTTGTCCGTATCGCTAACTGTGTGTGTCTTGAGTTGCAAGGCATATCTTCTGATTTGATCAGGCTTATCAAGTCAATATTAAAAGGTTATTAAAGGGTTAACTGGTACTATGCTATCAACGGAAACCTCTTGAACAGTGGTATCTGTTGGGGTAGGATTGAATAGGTAAGAACAAATATAAAGTATTTCTGCTAAAACAAATTTAACTTTTAAAACACTTTTTATTTTAGCTATATTATATAGTCAGTTTGGTCTTGAGACTACAAATGTTAAACCTTTCAATTTGGGATGGGATGTGAGTTGACAGACCTCTGTGACTCATACCCTTCTCTTCTTGAGGCTCAAGGCTTTAAAAACCCTATTGGCAAAACACGCCCAAATATCTGACCAAACTTTGGACTGGCACCATGCATTGTGGGTAACATAGCCACCACATTTTTACAAGTAGAACGTGTGGAATATAAAACATATTTCTATGGTTGTTTGGAAGCGGTTATTTCGGGTCTAAAAAGGGAAGCCAATGTAAAAGTGGCTTTTTAAACCTGCATTCCTTACAATGGCCACTAGGGGGAGACTCCACTGATCACAAGAAGTCCAATTTGATTGAAGTCTCTGAAAAAAATTATTACCCTCTTTCCTAGGTGATTTACCACCCCAATAAACTGATTCCAAATGAGTTTATGGTCTCAATTGCTTGTGTTGATTTGTAGCAACGAAGAGCAAATATAAAAGAAAGTGTCCCGTACTTGTCATCTAATACAGATCACATTCCTAAACAAACATCCCAACAGTGCCTTTCAGCTGCAGCTCCACAGAGCCTACCGTAGCGGTCCTACTCTAAATCTAAATCAGACTCTCCTCTCCGCATTCCAGACGAGTAAATAATTCTTGGAGAAACTTTTTTTTGTGGTCTCATGAATTCTTGCTGCTTTATGTCTGCAGCCAAGAACCTCCTCCAGCTGAGGAGCCGCAGAGCAGAGCTGGCAGCGACATCAACAGCTGCTGGGTGAGATAGCTGCCTGTGTGTGTGTGTGTGTGTGTGTGTGTGTGTGTGTGTGTGTGTGTGTTTACTTCAGAGGACCTGGAAAACTCTGAGGTATGCAGCAAGTCAGAAAAATATGTGAAGAAGAAGAACATCAACTCATCCAAGAGCTGATAGGATCAAAAGCAGCATCTTCTTCTTCGTCTGCCATCTCTGTTCTTCTTCTACCTTCATTCCTCTGTTATTCAATGATGCTTTCTCTCATCTCTGTTATTTCATATTCTATGAACCTCTTTGCTGTAATTCAACTTCTCATGTTGTCTCTGTTCCTCCTCTTATTTCTCTACTTTCTTTTATCATCTCCTGCCCTCATCTTTAGTCTGTTCTCTGATCTTTTCTATGTGTATTGTTCTCTTTCATCTTCTGAACCCCAACCCCATCGCTCTCCCCCCCTTTTGTTTTGTGTCCCTTCCTTTTTCATGTTTTTGATTTTCATTGATTTTCTCATATATCCTCATATTTTCCTTTGTATTTCCTTCCTCCTTCATCCTGTTCTCAATGTCTTATATTCCATCTTCCCTTTCTCTGTCTTCCTTACCCCTCAAAACGTTGTTCTTCCCTCACTTGTACTTATGTTGTATTTTTCTTTCCTCCTTTCCTCTCATATAACCCCCCCCTTTTTCTTACATCAGATCGCTTTCTGCTTCGTCTTACTTTTCTCTACTTCTTTTCATAGTCTTTATCCATCCTTCACATCATTGTGTCCTATCGTCCAGTGTTTCATCTACTCCGTCTTGCTTCCTTTTTTTTACTCCTATCTTTACAACGTGTTTTTGTAGAATCTAAAGACCCTTCATTTCCACTCAGTCAGTGAGGTGATGCATTATGGTCATTTAGCGAGTAATGATTTCACAAGAATTATGTTAGAAAATAAATGATAGGCACCTTCCTGAAACTCTACTTGTTTTCTATTTGAAATTCACAAACAAATGTAATGTTCCAAAACGAGAAACATGCAGCAAACGCAAGTAAAAGTGTAATTGTTTATTATAGCTTTTTGTACAATTCTGCAGTCATTTTTAAGTTGTCAAATTCACACGGTATAGGCACAATTTTAGTGTTCCCACTTATGGAAAAACAGAATAATACAAACCATGCATAAAGCAGCCCAAACCCCCAGTCAGTTGGTAGTCAGTGTTGCTTTGTGTAATTTTGTGAAATTGTTACCTTGACCCTATCTGTGCTACAGGTTTGGACTTGTGAGTATGTACAGTTTTGAAATAATCCCCTGAATGATTGCTGTTGGTCTGTATTTTGGCCAAACGGCAGTCCTTCAACTTCAGTGTCAGCAGAGATGACAAAAGTACGCACATCCTTTACTCAAGTAGAAGTACTCATGTTTAAAAATACTCTGGTAAAAGTAGAAGTACTGACTAAACTTCTTTACTCAAGTAAAAGTAAAGAAGTATGGGCTTCAAAATGTACTTAAGTAAAAAGTACCCATAACTACCATCTGTTTTAAAGAGTAACTGACCTCCCTTTATATTAATAGAACAATAATGTCATTGTTAGCTAATGAATGTTTCCATGCTGAACAACGGCAACATGACAACGTTTTCATTGGTCCCTCTTCTTTAGAGAAGACCAGGAAGTGATGGATACACGGATCGTGTTCAAATCAATAGGCACGCAATGACTCTAAATAATAATGATCACGCCACCAAACGCAGATTAAAACTAAAGTAACCAGCCTGTTTTGAAAATGTAAGAAGTAGAAAGTACAGGTATTTGTGTTAAAGAAGTAAAAGTAAAAAGTCGTCAGAAAAATAAGTAGTGGAGTAAAGTACTGATACCAGAACATTTTACTTAAGTAACGAAGTATTTGTACTCCACTACTTCCCACCTCTGAGTGTCAGTTCGTTACGTCATTAGTCCCGAAAGACATTTTCTACCATTGTCTTACATTCATTTAACTGAGCCAAGATCGCCCATGAAGCTGCGGAAGAGAGGCAATGCATAAGCAAAAAGCAATTGCTCATGTTTTATGGACCCAGACACAGGTATTTTTGTACTCAACAGTGAGGCCATTTTGGTTTCATGCGCCACTGAGCAACTTTCATAGGAATTAAACGTGCCCCGCCTCCAACGCAGCATCCAGTTGTCTTTATGAATCCATGCTTTGTATCCAGGAAGTGTCAGTTATTTGTGTATTGGATCAATGAAACTTGTTCAGCAGCTGAAGTCAGGAAGTGTCCTCTTCTAGTGAGCTATGGACTCATACAAAGTCACCTCTGACGCCAGGAAGTGTTTCTCCACTTTAAATGGATCTTTGGAGTCTCAGTTATTGACCATCGGAGGCAGGAAGTGCCCACTCTCCTTCATCTGTAGCTGTTCATTTTGACCCCAATGCACCAGGAAGTGTCCTTTCTTCATGCAATGGCTCTATGGAGTCACTGCTCGTAATGTCCTCAGACAGGAAGTGTTCGCTTAGTTGGATGGATGAAGCTATTCCTATTTCCTTCAGAAAGAAGGCCAAGTATTGTGTTGAGGTGGTTTCTTCTTCCTCTCTGATGGTAAATGAGTCTGCTGAAGCTTCATCGGAATAGAGAGGGTTTTTTAAAATAATTTTAGATGTGAGTAATATGTCTATTTTAGATTTAGTAATTTCACATGCCTATGAGGAATGGGTTATCCAGAGATTTGCGAAAGGGTGAGATATCTGTCTTAGGTAAAAAAAAGTACAGTTTCTATTCGAAAGTTGAATAGTTAAATCATGATCAAATGGGACTGCATTACAGCCAAGTATACCGTCTTCAGTAGTTGCTGTAAAACTGAATTGTGTTAAGCTCGTTGACAGCTGAATAGAGTGTTCGCTGCCAGCAGGAAGTGCTGATTAGAAAAGTGAATAATGTGGATTAGTGACTCTAAAGTCAACATTTTAATGGA